AATCGTTTTATTTCGATTACATTGTTTTCGTAATCGTTGCAAGCCATAATCGTAATCACAATTAAAATACGATTAATTGAGCAGCCCTATTCAAGAGGCTTGATATACTTTGTTTCTTACGCCTGTCTGACTGATATCTTGGCTGCAAAGGGTGCCTCTAAATAACCGAACACTCAACATCCCACGTGACCTACTTGACATTGAAGGGTCCAGTCCTCAGCGTGCAGCGGTCAGGGAACTGGCTGAGTTTCTTGGAGAGACCCTTGATGTTCTTCTTGGTTTCCTGAAGCTCTTTGTCCTGCTCGTAGTCAGTGGAAGCAGAGAGAGGAAGGCCGTCCCCGACCCGGACCACCGAGGCGAACAGCACCATCGACATCTTACAGCTCTGGCAAACTCACTGAAGCTCTACAGACAGATGGAAGAGTGTATAGCAAATACATCTAATGTTAATGTTCAATACACAGCTCTTCATTCAAACTGTGAACCAAGCACTTTGTTCAAATGCATGTCTGAATTACATGGGGCATGGTATAGCTGGAACAATGATCAAAATCTATTTTTATTGTGATAGCTTAACAATCGTTCAGCTGATTAACCAAAATCACTATTTGATGGAATAAGACATTTTAAAAATGTATTTAGCAGCAGATTCTTTAACTTTTTTAAATACATTTCAGGCAACACATGCTCCTTAAATGGCTGATACTCACACTGCAAGAATAGCTTTAGCTTATAATATGTTTTTTACACACCGACTGCACATTGTGTGTTTTACAACCCAATACATGTCCTGCCCAATTGACATTTCCTGATCTGTACTATGAAATCCACCTGTAAAGCAAGGGATCACTGTCAGCCAAGCATCAACGTTAAGCCCAAACTTAAGTTGTCGAAATATGAACATTGGAATATTCTCTTTAGTAGCAGAGCACTTTAAAACAGAAAGGGGGAATGCACACTGTGTTTTGCAGTAAGGCATGCATGCTTTATGCCTCTACCTGTGCTCCCATTGTCCTCAAGGTAAGAGATTGGGAAAGGCTATTTTAACAGTTAATATTGTAGAATAACAAAAAGAAGATTTCAAATGCAGGTAAATTGTAAAAATCCGTACAGACCATGTGGTGATACATATATACATGTTAAAAAAGAAAGTGTGCCATTGGACAAAAAGGGTTTCAAGGAGGAGTACAATATCAGGGGGCTATTATGTGTAGGTTGGTGATTTCAACATAATCGACCCAGGGAAAAATACATTGAACATTTGACCTTGGAAAACACCGAGCATTGCTGAGAACATAAACCATGAAAGCTCTACTTAATGGGCCATTTAAAAAAATTATACTAAGCTGGGGGACATTAAGGGATCCCAGGAACATAGAGACGCCCCATGGGACTCACGACATGTTACGGTCTGTGGCATAATGTTAATATCATGGACCCCTGCTGCTGTTTTAATAAAGATGTGAAGATAGATATATATGGTTGTTGTCGGTTGTGTGTCAGGACCATGGACAGCAACACAGACTGAATGAAGGGGCGTTGGGAGGAAGAAGAGGTACTACATCACGACGAGATTTCAGCACACTGGTGGCAAAACATGAACATATCACAGCCTCATAGCAGACTCAATGGTTCAGTAATACTAATTGGTTAATTAACTTAAACAGCAGGAACTAAAAACGACGACGGTTTGACAGAGAAAATACGTTTATGCTAGATAGCTTAGCATGGCATAGAAGCTAAGAAGCAACGTTAGCTTTGTTTACACCCGTTTTCAAAACTATTCCGATCTACACGTTTCGTGTGTTGAACAGTTTGTCTAAAATGTAAGCATCCAGTGTATATAATAATAAAACTAGCAAACACCAGACCTTGTTAGCCAGCTAGTCACTGTTAGCGGCTAACTGCTTTAGCTTTTTCACTAACGTTTCCTTACAGCTAACGTTAGCAGCTAATAGCTAGCTCCTCTGCGAACCTTAAACTCCGTAGAAAGTTAGAATGAAAAACAACACATGTCAGACAGAGTGGGATATTAAGTGAAGCATTTAACACCTACCTAAACGATTGTTGCATCCTGTGCTAATCTATGATAGAGCAGATGTTACATTTAGCAGAGAGCAGAGCAGCAGCTAGCAGGTCTGTTTACGTGGCTGCTCGCTGTGCATTGTGGGTAATGTGGGCATGTATCACAGATTATTGATTTTTTAAAGATGCCACATGTGAATTAAAACAACATTCGGATCAAAAGTTTTGTTCTGAGATTTCCTGAAGACATCTTTTTAATTTAATTTTAAAATATATATTTTTTATTTTTCTCATAATTCTGACTTTTACCTCAGATATTTTACTTTTTTTTCTGAATTCTGAGATTAAAGTGAGAACTAAATTCTGTTAAACGTTTTATCACATCTTGAAAAATAATTGTCATGTGGCCCTAATCCTCTTCCGTAGTTCTAAAGCTATCTGGATCTGTATAAATGGACCTACCCATCAACCATGTTACTATACTTGTAGATTTAACTTGGATAATATAATATATTTTGAACTTCTACAGGGAACATTTCTTCTTTTGAAATTAAAATTATAACAGCAGAATAAAAAAAATACTATTTTTTATCTTACAATGACCACCACTTTGTCTAAATTGTCTTATATTTTACATAATTATTTATAATTGACTTATTTTTGTATTTGTGCATATGTTTTTGTGTTACTGTAACATCTGAATATCCTCTCTGGGGATCAGTAAAGTTATATTATATTATTTACTGTTATGTTATATTATAATATGTAATTATGTTATTATGCTAATTGTTACATTTTGATTACATATAAAAAAAAAATTATTTTAAATTAATAAAAATATATACATTTTATTATACATCCCACAGCCAATGGAAATATGAGCATTAAAAAACCTTGAAATAATATTAAACTCAAGGTCATCTCAAACTGTAGACATTGCACAGTCAGTGTCATAAAGCTCTCAGTATTTACCACACAGGACAGCATAACACAAAACACCCACGAACAAGAGTGACAGTGCACGCTGGTAAAAGAGATAATGAACTGTAGAAAATACATTATATTAAAACTACTATTAGACATGTTAGGTCCAACAAGGTGGGTTCACAGTAAATACTTTTCTACCGCAGTATATTTCCCTCTATAACTGAGCTTGTTAATATTCATGAGCTCATTAACTTCATGATAGATTCTTCATAATTTACATTTTCATTATCTTTTTATTCTTTCCTCTCTCTCTGCTCCAGTTGCTACTTTCCCACTGAAAGCTGGCAACAAATGAGCCGCTCTCCGAAGCATCTGAGACCAACATTTTTTTCATGTTAAAATTAAAATAACATAAAGTATGAATAATGAGTACCCAGAGCCTGCAGAGCATGTGTGCTCCACACAGACCTGAACTAGGCCATCTACTGACATCAGCTTGTTCTCCTGCTATTTTCATACGTTTCTCTTCTGAATATGGAAGAAAAGCATCTGTGGCGAGAAGAAAAAACAAAACAGAGATGGTTAGTGGCCTCATCTTTCATACATGCCCATACAATCTCCCTGTAGCTCAAAAGTGTGTGTGTGTGTGTGTGTGTGTGTGTGTGTGTGTGTGTGTGTGTGTGTGTGTGTGTGTGTGTGTGTGTGTGTGTGTGTGTG